AAATCATTCTAATATGCTGATTTATTATTAGAATTATCAACAACAATACTACAGCGAGAATATAAGTTACGCCTTCTTTCTTTGCGTGAATATTTGGGCGGCGTTATGCAAATCTTCTCACATCGTGACGTAGACATGTGGGGTGTGTTAGAACGAGCCGTTTTAGGTAGGCGTGGCTGACTCTTAACTTTTATAAAGAATATCTCTTTGGATTTGAGACTTTAGTCTTTGCAACTTTACAGATCTTCTTTATGCACCAAGAGCTTGTAACACTTCAAAGAGAAAGGAAAAATTGAAATCGCATCATATGACCCCTTTAAATGGCTGAGACTTGTGAGGCCCTTGTCTTTAATTCAGATTCAGGGCCGTCATTCTTTGCGGTATGTGGGCCGAGGGAAAAGCGGTTGTGTGGACCGGAGCTGGGTCAGAAAACAATTGCTATGTGGGTGTGACATTTTGAATTTGAAAGGACAAATATCCTTTATCAAAATATCCTTGTAAACATAGTCGGTTGTGTCTTAAGTCCCAGATATTTAGACTGACACATAACCCAAGGATGTTGTTTTTCCATGCTAAACCTGATCAATATTTTAGATTTAGTTTTTTATTTTATTATTATTATTTTTAATTAGGCTACATCTTATCATTGTCATGTGTTTTAATTTATCTTAATTTCCATATTTACATAATGCAACGTTGTGTGATTTTCAATGAATCTTAATTTCCATATTTACATGCTGCAACTTTGTGTGATTTTCAATGAAATATCTGACTAAAAATTCGCTCGTTTTTCTCCTCTAATCCTCACACACGAAGACTGTTGATGCTGATCAAATACCAAGCGAGTCTATAATCTTAATTCCTTTTCATTTATTTGTGCAGATCGGCTTAAAAAAAACAACAAAAAAAACAGCTCACTTTATAGACGCACTAAGTCATTTCCCCCGTTATTATTTCCCTCCTTTCGCCGCTTCACACTCCAGTCCAGCGGGTGGCGCTAAACATGCGTTTGTTTGTCAAACACCATTAAACCTCAGAGGAAGAAGATTAGTTTCACCGCGCTCTCTGTTGTTTTGTCTTGATGCTGTTTTAATACAAACTGTTAGAAATGTTGTTTCTGTTAATAGAAAAATACAGTTTTTGAATCAGGTCAGTAAATACCTGTAATATTTTCTTCCTCACAGTCGTGACTAAGTTTTGAAGCAAGCAGGAATATCTGGAGGAGTATCATCTGAACTGAGATCTGCTGTTGTGAAGATGGTGTTTGTTAAAGAGGAGAGAGAGGAGAACACGAGTGAACCAGAAACCTGGAGAATAAAACACGAGGAACCAGAACCCTGGAGAATAAAACACGAGGAACCAGAACCCTGGAGAATAAAACAGGAGGAACAAGGAGGTTGGACTTTATTCTTCATTCATGTTTAATGACTGTTTGTGGTACATTAGGCTTACAAAGCTTTAATAATACTGACAGTTATAAAATTTCAAGCAGTTTTAGATTTAGTTTGTTGTAACAGAAACAATCATTAGAGCGGCTGAATAATATAGATGGAGCAGCAAATAATAAAGGACACTTTTTTTCAACTAAATGTATTTTAGATAAGTTTGTAGTTGATCAAACATATTTAATAGTTCTCCTTATAGAATCATAGGATTTGTGTCTATAATATTAAAAAAATTATTCATGAAAAGTTTCAGGGATGTGTAGTTTATAAAATTGCATCAAAAGGAACAAAATTTTGTATATAAATTGCCTTTACACTGTTACACCGGGGTTCAATTTTATGTCCTTTCACATTTCTGTGTGTGTGTATTATTATTATTATTATTATTTATTTTTAAGTTTGTTTGTTTTTCAAGTTAGACAAATGAACTGTTTCTGCTTTTATTTAAGGGTTTATAGAAGAAAGTGAGGAGAATGAAGAATCAAGTGAAGTTGAGGAGAAAAATCATGTAAAAACTGGAGAAAAACCTTTTAGTTGCTCTCAAACCAAACAGAAACATTTAAAGAAAAGAAGAGCCAATAAATGCTTCACCTGCACTCAGTGTGGAAAGAGTTTGACATACAAAAATTGTCTTGATGTTCACATGAGGATTCGTTCAGGAGAGAAACCGTACACATGTGATCAGTGCGGGAAGAGTTTCACAAAAAAAGGAAACCTTACAAAACATATGAGAGTTCATACTGGAGAGAAGCCATTCACTTGTGATCAGTGTGGGAAGAGTTTCACACAATCTGCAGACCTTAAGAAACACATGAACATCCACACTAGAGAGAAACCATACAAGTGTTCACACTGTGACAAGAGATTCAGTTGGTCAGTTCACCTGAAAAGACATGAGAGGATCCACACTGGAGAGAAACCGTACACATGCGATCAGTGCGGGAAGAGTTTCACACGAAAAGGAAACCTTAAGGGGCATATGAGAGTTCATACCGGAGAGAAACCATTCACTTGTGATCAGTGTGGGAAGAGTTTCACACAATCATCAAACCTTAAGGATCACATGAACATCCACACTAGAGAGAAGCTGCATGCATGCGATCAGTGCTGCAAAATATTTTTGAGGGCTTCAGTTCTGAAGAAACACCTGAAAGTTCATTCAAAGGAGAAGCCACATTCATGTTATTTGTGTGGAAAGAGATTTTCACATTTACAAAGTTTAAAAGAACATCAGAAAATACATATTGGTGTGAGAGAGTACATGTGCTTTGAGAGTGAAAAAACTTTTACTTCAGCAAAGTGTTTAAAACTGCATGAGAGGATCCACACTGGAGAGAAACCTTACAAATGTTCACAGTACGACAAGAGATTCAGTGATTCAGGACATCTGAAAACACATGAGAGGATCCACACTGGAGAGAAACCGTATCACTGCACTGCATGTGGGAAGTGTTTCAGTCGTTCATCTTCTCTACACAGTCATACAAAAAACTATCACAGTAAGTAGATCATCTTCAGATCCAGCACTTTCAGGTCTGATGCTGCGACCTCAACAAATGCCAGACAATAATGCATCATGCAATAAAATATCATCTGGATAAATCTGTCCAAACCAGACATTACAAGAAACAATAGAAACATCATCTAAAGTTTTCACAGTGAATAAAGTTAATCTTCATCTTCAAAACCAGCAAAACTGTGAGATTCAGATCAACACAAAAATGGAGTTCCTCCCCAAAGAACAATCTCAAAAAGTTTTATTCTTGAATATTGTTTTCTTCGTGATATTAATGTCATTGTGGTTTCTTATAAGATTTATATAAAGTTTATGCAATGTTCAGTTGTCACTACTGTTAATCAAATACTAAAGAAAAACAAAAACATCTCTCTCTGCTCTTGACTGAATGACTTTAGTAGCTTTAATAAACATTAATCCATCAGTTTATACAGTGAAGACTGTGCAGTGTTAATTTTAAACATTATGCACTTTTTTCACAGATAGCTTTGAATAAACGTGCATTAGTAATATTTTGCTCGATGCGCCCTCTTGTGGCCTCAGGAGAGAAGCCAAAAGCTTTTCTTCACCCTAACTGAAATTATGCATTTTAAATTAGAATATAATTCGAATTTTGATAATATTTTAAGTAAAAAATTCGAATTAATTTTTTTAGCCATTTTGACAGCCCTACAGTGCTGCTTTGTTTACAGCCGTTATTAGGGAAACCACTGTTACCGCCGCTCCAAAAGTGCTTCCTGCTGGAAGAGAATTAATTTGCGTTTATAAAATGGATAGTTCCGGTCCTTGATTCTGATTGTTTGAGCTGCGTTCGAAGCTGTTGTAAATTACTCTACAAACATACACCTTTGTTTACATCTGTGTGTTGCTCGGCAACCACTTTGTTGCAACCACAACCCAGATAGCAAGCACATTCGGACCGATTCCGGCTGAAATGTGGCACTGTCGGCTCAGTCTCGGCGAGAAGATAATGGGCCAGAACCTGTATTTTTTAGAGTGTTTGCTCATCTGCAATACGTCTATAGGACGGTCCCTATCAGATGTCAAATAGACGTCTATTAGATGTCTTTAAGATGTTTATGATTTAGAACAGTGGTCACCAACGTGGTGCCTGCGGATAAAATTTGTTAATAATGATGATAAACTCTGGACATTTTTACTCGACCGTCTGTAAACATTCCAACTATGTTCTCCGGTAAAATTTTCTGCAAGTTAGAATAGGAAAGATAGACAGTCGTGATCCTTACACCCAAAACACAGTGTACCCAAAACACTGTGAAATAAAACAAGTCTAGATCATATTTAAAACGCGTGAATAAATGTAATATTAACTATATAATTAAAACATTTCTAAACACCGCTCCGCATGAGATTCGATTCGAACCCAGCTAACAAAAAAACGTCCCCAGGACGTCCCCTAAATGGCCTCTGCAAACGCCCCCCGGACGTCAGCGTGTAGGGTCCCCTTGACGTCGAGCGGACGTTCGCGAAGACGTCCTCCGGACGTTCAAGAGGACGTTCACAGGACGTGCAGCGGCCAATCAGGACGTTTAGGGGACTTTCGCTTTAAGTCCTCTGAATGTCATTTTATTTTACTTTTAGGCTAATCAAAGACAACAGACACGTTGTATGGAGCAATATACGTTTATTTTAATTGAACAATTGTAAAGTTGCGGTGCTCTTTCCGTGTGTGTGTGCGTCTCTGGTTGTCAGCTGTGGTTAGTCCGATGGCAATTCTTCCCATTGTCTTCTAACCTAAAACAACAAAATGAACACATTTAGTAGTGTTATGATTTTATATGTCTAGGACTGTCGTTTATCCATTGAAAAAAGATTTGTAAAGACTGTTGACAGTTTGGATTTAGACCAAGCGGTCCGAAATTTAGCGCGCATAGGCCTTTTTTGCCGCATATAGGCGTCTCAGTGTGTATTTTACCATATGGAAATTCAATATCTAAGTAAAATAACTGTCAATATTATATACGTTTAATCATTTCAGCTTTACATGCTAACGTTAGCTTCGAAAGTGTTCACATAGGCTAACAGCAGCCGTACGGGACAACTTCAGCAAACGTTTAAAAAGGTAAACTTTTCATAAAATGTAAGCATTACGAGATACACAGTGGTTACGGTAGCTAATGTCTACAAATATAAAAGTATAAATACCTTTTCGACCAAAGAAAGCGAAAACTCAAGGCCGTGTCTGAGGAATCACCGAGGACCGTTAACTGTCACTACGCAGCTGAGCGTTGCCATGGATACATGCTGTGCCCTAAAGTGATGTCATTCGATCATGTGCTCATTTGAGCGACACTTGCTTGTAGCCTATCTCCCAATTTTTTAGCTGCACGTGGTATAGCAGTCTTAAATGCAATAACTAAAATAATAATTTTACTAAATAACTTTTCTTGTCGGCTTACCAACAGTTTAATATGTAAATGGAAAGAATTAATTTATTTGTCTTACCTGTGTTATTTTCCACTTTCTTTTCTTCATGTTTTCCTTGGCTGCATTAATCACTCTATAACATTCTTGTAGAGCTCCTGGGATGCAACCTTATTTTCTTCATGCATGGGGGCACCTAATTGTAGCCTATATGTTCAATTATATTATTGAAGGATATCATGATTTTGATGTTTAAATGCTGAAAACAAACGCCTGATTTGATGACATTTTTAATTACAGAAGTTACTCCTATTTTATTTTTCCAGAAATGAAAATTATTAATTTAACATTAACTTAATTTTACAATGTATTCAAATCTATTATACTATAGTAAAAAAATAATAATAATATAAATCTGCAAAACATTTTGCATTCTTTTGCATTTTGC